GTGGGGCCGAGGTTTGTTCATTGTTTTGTCCAGCAGCATGCTCACAGTTTTGCACTTCTTGCGATTCCCTGGCACAGTCAGCTAGAACATGGCGTAGACTCAAATCGATGACGCCCAGGCCATAATGCCAAGATGGCCTTGAGCCGTTTGGGATACTTATCTGAATAAAGTGACTGAGGTGTTTAGTGAGATTCATGTATGCAACATATAACGTATCTCCTCCTACTACCTTTAACCTGAACAAGTGCCAATATCTGATGTGTATAGCTAACAATAGGAGTATAGATATTGTTCATTAATCTTTCAAGAACTGTAGAGGAGATAAGATGTTTTGAAGACTCTGAGGAAGTTTGTTCCTGATTCCATCTGGATTTTTTCATTTAGTTATCTTCCCACAGTTTCTAAATGGGTAAGTTTTCTGGATTGTCTTAACAAAGTTTTTAAACTCTGAGCTACCTTCCTAAATGCACATATTGCCAATATATACTGGCAGCTAACACAAAGCTATTTTCATCTGATACATTGATTTAAAAAAAGCTATTTCTGCTTGGTTCACTCATCTATTTGAATGCTGAGCCAAAAGCAAATTTTTATTTTTAAGTATTTATAATTGCATCTAATATCTTCTCACAAAATTACCAATGAGTATTGTTTGACTCATGGCTGTTATGGCTTGAAAGGGTACTACAAATTAAGATAAAAAATAAATGAAAGGAATAGGAGATAGTAGTAAATATTAAGAAGATGCCAGTATCATCAATTGTGGATTTATGGTGCTTCTACACTTAGGTGTAAGGTTGGATATTGATGCCTGTTGTTTCCCCAAGTAATATAAAAATTAAATAGCTTTAATGTTGCATTGATATTAATCTAGTTTTTTTTTTCTGTAATATGTCTTCTGTCTTGATATTGTGCAGGGGTCTTCATGTTTCCACTCATACAGTATATCTTCCTTCCTGTCTTGACCTGCCTTTTAAAGGTCAGCCTTTAAATGGTGTCAATGAATTTTCCATTGGTCTGACTCCTAAAATATACTCTCAGGACAACAATCTAAACTAAATTACACTTTTAGAGAGTTCAAATATTCCAAAATCTTGAAAAAGTTACTTATATAGGATATAATAGAGACAGCCATTCTGATATAAGCATTGATAAATATAGTGAATATGCTTTGGAGCATTAAACATGAAAGATTTTGTAATTTGCTTCATTTTTTATGTTGGGTTTTACAGTTATTTTGTCAAACACCTTGGCTAGGCCAAGCATAAAACTATCCAATGTCTTAACATTTAAAATTACGTTATAAAATAATCTTCATGAGTATCACCGGAGTTTCAAATGGATGTATACTTTTAGTTAAATGATGTAATGAGAGTTATCATGAGTAATGAGAGAGCATTAGTTTATGCTACACATAATTACACAAAATACCTAGATTAGGTGGGTAGCTACGTCAGCATGCGTAGGCTGCAAAGGAACTAGTGTAACGTTGCCATAGCAAAATTAAATGTAGTGCACTCTCTGAAGGCACCAGTTCTGTAGGGTTTGGGCATTTACTGAGACAATTATTAATTGTAGCAGTAAATCACAAAGTTGATTCTTTTGATGGCTTTTGAATCCAACCATGTGACATAACTCAAACAACGCACACACACAGGTACTAATACACGAGGATACACTTATTAATACATAGAATATGCAT